TTAATGCAATAGAATCAAAGAAATGCTCATCAACTGCTGTTTCTAATCACTTTCAACAGTTCAAGCTTCTCTAATGCCCCAGTATTTCAATTTAACATTTACTGTTGTATGCCTTGTGTAAATAAGTGCATTGGAAATTTAAGCCTGGTATAATGGGGGACTGACAATGTGAAAGAGGAGGAAGATTTCTACCAAATTTTAGGTGTCCAAATGCCAGCTTCGTGTTTTATACTCATCCTCCTGGGTAACCTCAGGGCACCAACTTCCATTCATTTTCTTCCACTCTAAGCCCATGTTAGCAGTGACTACAGACTGGATATTATCTAAACTCTCAGTGAATCACAGCTGACAGTGATGCTATTTCTAAGCCACAGAATCACTCTTTGAACAAAATGCAAGCGCTGTGTCTTTTCAACCTGTTCTTCAACAGTGGAAGCAGCAGGATTCCAGCTCTGTATAATAACTGTCAGAAACAATTTCTGCTCTGTAAGTGAGGTGAAGCAAAATGTCAAAATATTTGAATACATTTCATTGAGGATATCTTCTTTTAAATTAGTGAAGGCTAGAGAAGAAGAATCCCATTCTCTCACATAATAAATATGCATGGAACTGAGGAGCCACGTGCATTCTAATAAAGCCGAGTCCTGGCTCGTTAATGCATTATAGGTCCACAACAATAAAACACAATAATTACTAGTTAAAGAGATGCCAGTGTTGGCCTTTTACCAACATCCCTGAACATATAATTCATAATAAATTTAGTAAGGCTGAAGTCGGCTTGTTAATTAACCTATTTTATGCAATGACTGGAATGGAGGAAGCAATCACATAATCCAACAAGGCACCTTCCCAAATGTGCACATCTCATTTTTGGTTGGGATCTGCGGTTTGGACCCATGAGACTCAGAGGACTCAGGTTCTTGTTTGTGTTTATACAGATGAGAACGTTAGGGAAGAAATGACAAAGTAATATCTTATTATGCAACTACCACACATTTGAAAAAGAAATTGCAGGAGAGTCCACACATAACAGGTAGGGTTAGGTGATGTTTAAATCCAACAGCTTGGGCAAAGAAAGGGCTGAGAAGAGGTTCTACCAAGAGTCCTAGGGAACTGATCAGGATAATGGACATGTACAGCACATATATACTTTCTTCCTTTGTGCACAAAAAGATATTAAAATTACTGAAAAGTTATGAACATGTCACAGAGCTGGTAAATAAGAAAGAACATCCTCTTCTGCCAGAAACTAAGAAATTTCTGGACTATTGAAAATTGAAGTGATAGGATTGGCAAAAGCACAGGACTCCACAGCCCAATACAAATGAAGAAGAAATTCCCTCTGAACTTAAATTTCTCCGGATCAGCTTCTCAGCAGACCTGATAAGAAGAGGGTAAAAGTTGTGGGAGACCTCTTTGGGAGAATCTTTAACCTGCTTTAGAATATGCAGGCTAGACCTCCTCCTTTGTTCTCTCACCCTTTACAAAAGGTGACTGGAGGTACTTTTGCCACAGGCAAAACAGAATACCTGCCCTCTAAGGAAAGTAAAGACATGGGATCTGACAAATTGCTAAATCTCATGATAGATGTGGGGTAAGAGGCAAATACACCAACATTCTTGAGTAGCTCAAGTACTTTTTATTTTATCAAGAGAGAGGGTTTGGAGGATGTGGGTGTAAAGCAGGCAGGCTGACTGGGGAATCCTCTTCTCCTCTAGGCAGTAGAGAAGCACAATGGAGAAATTGAGAACACCCACTCTGTTCTATATGTTAATCGTGGTATATTATTCATAAAATAAATGGGCAACAAAGGATCACTGGGCGTTGGATAAAAACTAACAGTATAAAAGGAAGAACCCAGGGAACTCACATAATGGTTGGCAACAGAGATAACACAGAAAACTGAAGAAAACAGTAAATCAGTCCCAATTGATATCATCAATAAAATTCAAAAGACTATGGATTCATAAAAGCACAGCACACATCTATGAAAAAAAAAAACCCAGTAATCAGAAAATGCAGAATTAATGGAAACTAAAATTTCACTTTCTTAAATTTAAAAATTAACAGAAGGGCTATATAATAAAAAGGACAGAAGTAAAAACATTACTAATCTGGTAAAAAAAAAAAAAGTTTAGACTTTAAAGTTGTGTGAGGCATAGAGGCTCAATATCTGAGGTCCAAAATCCATCCGACTGGGTTTTTTGTTTGTTTGTTTGGTATAGTAGAGAGTCAAGGAAATGTGGAGAAGTGATACAAATCATAGGGAAAAAAAACCCCTCCAATCTAAAACACAAAGCTTCAGCTTGAAAGGATCAGTTGAATGGTAAGAAAAGTGAATGGGAAAAAGACCATTAGTCATATCCTAGTGAAGTAACTGAGCAAAGAATTCAATAGCAAGATGTTTGTTAATAGAATTTAGTACTTTGATAGTTTAAAAGCTAAACACTGTATTAATAGTCAGGATAATATGTTTTCACACATTTACCATTATTGTTTGCATATATTGGATGGATATGACCCCAAAAAGTAATTACTAGGTATAACCATTGGTATATAAATTTAAGAAGGCTTCACCATTACTGTTAATAGGGAAAAGGAAGTTTAAACAACAATGCAATATGAATGTGTTCTTCAGACAAGCATTTAAAAGTTTGAGAATGGAGAAAAGAAACAGTGTTTCTGAGTGTGTGAAATGGAAATGCTTTTAGAAAGGGAACTTGGCATATTTATCTAAACTTAAAATTCAGAGATTTTTTAGAAAGAAAGTATTCCTTTTGGTATCTAATACAGAGAAATATGCATGCAACTTCAGTGGAGAATATTCATTGGCACATTAAATGTAAGAGAAAAGGAAGAAAGGAAGAAAAGAAAAGAGGGAGGGAGGGAGGGAGAGAGGGGAGAATAGAGGGTGGAAAGGAAAGAGCAATTGAAATGTTAAAAACAGAGAACTAGGTTTAAAAAATGATGATGTATTTGTACTGTGAAATAGGATATAGTTGTAAAAAAATTAAAAATGGCAGTTTGTATAAATCCTCAGGGGGGAAAAACAATGTGATATTTAAAAAGGAGGTAGAAAACACTGGGGTGGTGGGTTTTAAAGCTTGCTCTTTGTCTCCTGTATTTTGCCTGTTGTTTGTGGCTTGACTCTGCAGAGTCCCATCACTATGACAAGCCAGCTTTACTCCCCATAGCCAGCTTGTTTCTATAAAGTCCAGGAACAAAGGCCCATAACATTTCCTGATGTAATTTTTCCTTACAATTCATTCTCCATTTAATCCAAAACTGTAGAGAGAGAAGGATTTTCTTTTCATAATTTGTTTCTCAGAGAAACTAAAGCTAATAGAATTGAGATTCATTGAAATTTTTTTTTTTGTAGAAAGTCTGCATTTTAAGGACTTTTATTATAAATCAATCTAGTGCTTTCATATCTTCTATGAACATTACCGCTGGAAGTCAAGAGAGTATAACAAGTGTGATTTGGGCAGTTGCAAATAAAATTGTATAAGAATAAATTTATCTTTGTTTTGAACTTCTTTTATCTGTTTTCTTTCTTGCTTAGACTCAGAGAACTTAATCCCGTTATAGTTGGACATTTTTGTGTTAAGATTCAGTATTTTTTGGATGGTCAGTATGATCCGTGAAATCATTCCATTCTAGTACAGGTATTATTAACAGTATTATTTCAGTCTCTGTCAAGTTCAGAGCTGAATTTTTTGTTTTCTTTTCCCTTAGAAATCCAATGGGTCTAGCCCTCACCTCAAAGTGTGAGGTGGGTTGGAAGCAGGGTGAATGTAATCAGGTGGCCTCCTCTCCCAGCTTTGACTGGTTTGTACAGCTGCTAGGGCTTGCAGTAGCAACTAAGTCCAGGACTGTGAACAATATTGGCTCACTGTTGTAGCACATGAGAGGTTCCTCGGTGTAAGCAATCCTAGGAAGGCACAGCCATTTTGTTCCACCTCTCTCAGTGAGGTCTATTGCTGACCTCTGTTGGGGTCTCCACATCCCCATTGGATAGTTCTTGGTGACACCTAGTATTTGGTCCTCCAGTCTAATTTCTGTGACATTGTTCAATACACTTTTACCTGTCAGGAGCAGACTTTGCTCAGGCTTTCTAAGGTTAGCCACTCCATGTCACTGCTGTTCTTTATTCTTGCAATAGCACATATCTTGCACTAGCAGATGTGGTGCAGGTTTACCAGAAAGCAACCACCAAATGAGATACAAAATTCATTTTCTTTATTATTCAGAATCATCTAAAAAACTTCAGAAGAAATGCTCTTGGGTACCTCTCTTCCCCACTTTCTTCTCCCCACCACTGCCCCTATTCCGGCTGCAAAGCTCCTTTGAAGAAGGGATAACACAGTGTCCCTCCCTCCTTCTCAGATAGGGTTCCCCTCATTCTCCTGCCCCCTCCTGCTCTCTCACACCACCATGACAGCCTCGCTGTTGTGAATGGCATGTATTTGAGAGTGTGCCTGCTTGAGCTGAGAATCTCAAAAATGAAACATCATTTTTTTTTTCAACTATGAGCTGTCTTCTCAGCAATCTATGCACTTTCTGCTTAAAATCCAGGTGGAGGAAAGTCCTGTTGGCAGCAAGATAGAACAGCACAATAGGGCACCTTTAGTTAATTATTTATATCATCTCTGCAAAGAGGCAGTACTAAAAACAATTCTATGAATGAGAAATTAGGGAAGAAAGTAGAGAAATAGAATGAATAATCTATACTGTATGTGTTCTTACATAAAAAAAATCCACATGTATCTGAATTTTAGTAAGTTCTTTAGGGGATTCCCTTGGACACCTAAATTTGAGATGACCCTCCTGTTGATAGGGTTTCCCTTCCCATCAGACTAATAAGAGATGAATAACACGACGTATTCTCTATTCCAGAGTATATGTGAATGTGTAATTTGGGTGGCTGCTTGTTCAGATCAGTAGAAGCAGAAAGGAAAAGATGATATAGATAAAACTTAGCTTAACATGGCAGTGCATACCTGTAATCCCAGCTACTCTGGAGACTAAAGCAGGAGGGTTGCAAGTTCAAGACCGAAATGAGCAACTTAGTGAGACTCTGCCTCAAAATAAAAAGTGAAAAGGGCTAGGGATGTATCTCAGTGGTAGAATTTCCATAGGTTCAATTCCCAGTACCTGAAAAAGCAAAGAAACAAACAAAAAATAGAAAACTGAGATAAGAAATGGTGAAGCCAGCTTTTGGATGAATGGCTTTGCATTTTGGTTGGAGCTTGGAGCCTAGTTGTACTTACTATAATTGGGTTTTGGGAGATTCTTTAGGATTCTTACAAGGAGCCTACTTTGCTCATTTTTAGTTAGAATGTGTATCTCAGCTTTAATCCTGCAAAGAGGTGAAAATTGACTCTTTAAAGAGGGAGTGAAAAGAATCTTAGATACTACAGTGGTTTGTAGGCCTCTGATGTGCAACTCTACCCAACAAATCTTCTTGATTAGACTTTAATTGTTCTCAGTAGGAAGACATTTAATTTAATTTAAAATTTAATTCATTAAATAAATTATGTAATTTAAATTCACTGATTAAAAGAAAAAATTTCTCCTTAGGAAGAAGGTAATGAAAAAACAAAGGTTGAGAAACATCCAACAAAATCCAAGACATAGACATTTTTCCTTAAATATTTCCAAAACAAAAGTAACATGCCAAAGTGAAGCAAAGCAATTCTTTTCCTCAGAGTTCATGAGTCTCTAGTAATGTCCATAAAATGAGTTTTAAATTCTATGAATACAGTCCATTCTTGGAGCTGAAGGAAGAAACATACATTTTTATCAACCCATCAAAGAAAGATATTAGAATAGTTTTATGACTGATAATCAGGAGAAATCTTGTGTAGATTTAACTTACTCAACAATGATCTCTACTTCTTTGGTTTGACCTAAAATATCAGAAGAGCAAACTTTGGCTATAAAAATAACGAACCAATCACAGAACTGTTTTATAGCTTTTAAATTTTTTTTGGTTAGAAAAGTAATTTTGTTAGTCCAAATACTGATATAGCTTTAGAAAAAGGAACTTAATTTTCCCTGTGTTGCCATCATTTTTCTATTTCACTTTCTTCTGAATTCTAAAAAATATCTGGAGGACATTAGGAGGTTCTGTTAGTGTATTGATTTAAGCTCACATAGCCTTTTATAAAACCAAACTAAACATATATTACCTCTGAAGAAGACAAAAGAAAACTCAGACAGTTGAAAAATCCTCTTCTTACATTATAATACTACCCACAGAATAATTTGAATTGGAAAATAGACCAGGTAAAAAGCCTCATTAAGTCTCCACCACTTGTAGAGACTTTTGGTCCTACCTACTTTCATATAATCTTAATCACTTTATTATAGGACCATTAAAACTGTTACCCTCTTACTCATTTCAATAGCAATAGAACCTCTTTGATGACATAAATGAGACCCTTCTTGGATCCTCATGTCTGGGTAATTTTAATTCTAAGCTATTGTGTGGCCTTGTGGCTAATTGGTTAAGAGGCTCTTTCCCCCTCCACTTACCTCTTATAAAATTGCCATGAGTTCTGAAAGCAGGACAAGTGATCTTTCAAGTTGCCTTGCTCACTCCTCTTGAAACGAACTAAAATTATTTACCTAAAAGAAACCCAGAATATGGGCTATTTTGAATTTTATAGGCAACACAGTAGGAACCCTAACAGTGGGTATATTTCTTAACTCACCCCCACTTATCCAAAATAAAAATACTTGACTAACTTTTCTATAAAACTACTTCATTGTAAGATAAAATCAGAGTCCTGTGTGTACTCCTCCATATTAGGTAATATAAATGTCACAGATATTTATTTATAAATCAATAGGAAATGTTGCCAGCATAAAACAAAAAAAGTGTGATTCAATAACAGAAGAGAGGAGAATATTGAACATTTTGGGTCTTCACTGATATGGCAGATCAATGACTGCAGTTTGTACTGCTCACCTATGCCATGAGTAGGCATCGTTTTTATTTGTAATAAATTTTTTTCTGAATATAAGACAAGATAAAAAAGGAGATCACTGTTCATACCCCTCTAATGACAAAAAAAAAAACCCCAAAACTTTCAGGTACAAGTAACAGAGGACCCCAATGTATGAGGAGGATTTATTGGCTCCTATAAAGCTCAGGGGTAAAGCCAGGTTTTAGGTACAGCTGGACAATATTTACAGATGGAAGTTTCTATTTATAACTTGGCTAAACTCTACTCTCCTTTGTGAGTTGGACAATTTTTAGGCTGTATTCTGTGACAAGAAGGCTGGTGAAAAGATTCTGAACTGTGCCTACCTAGACATATAGTTGTTTTCTTTCTTCCTTGACCTAACTTGTGACTTCACACTACGCCTGCTCAGAGTGTGTCACTTCCAGTCTTTCGTAACTGGAATCCTGAACTATATCCTATGGACTAATATATTTTATTGCTTCCTGGACATCAATATTATGTTCTCTGCACACCAAATGCATGGGTCTTTAATTCCTCATGGATCTGTGGTTCTTGATCTTACTTGTATAATTGAATTGAATTTCCAGGGATCATGTAAGAATACCATGTGTGTAGGGCCCACCCAGAGTAAATAAATTACCCTGTTTGGAAATGGGACCCAGAACTGGTATATTTATTAGCTCCCTAATGACTCCAGTGTCCAGCCTCAGTCAGTGGGTAGAGCATAGGTAGAAGAAGCCCTAATTTGTAGCACTTGCTGATTTCCATGATGAGAATACTTAGACTGTGCCAATTCAAGCTGGATCCATGACATCACAGAATGTAGGGAACCTGGTGTCATCTGTCACTAGCATACATTATTCACTAGCAGAATAATAGGTTTGGCTTATTAGTAGATACTTCTATGCAGCATTTAACACTGTTGACCAATCCCTCTTTCCCAAAAATCTATTTACTCTTGGTTTCCATGATCTAATATTTTCCTAATTCTTCTCTTATTTGTTTGGATGTTCTTTTCCCAATCTACTTTTCAGACCTATCTTCTTTTAACCAAACTTTACATGTTGGATCTTCTTAATACTTGCTCCTAATCTCTATTTTATTGCTCTAAGCTCTCTCTTTACCCCTATTGTTCTTCACATAATTATTGTCTCTGAAAATCATGGCAGACCCTAATAGCCAGCTGTCCTCTCCACATCTTTATATGGCTGCCTAATATGCACCTCAAATTAAATGCTATTAAAAATGGTCTCTGATTCTTTCTTTGTCCTCCTAAGCCTCATTCCATTCTAGCATTCTGTATCTCAGTGAATAGTACCATCATTTATACTGATGGACAAGCCAGAATCCAGGGAATCCCTGTTGACACCTGCTCACCCTCCACACCTTGCATCAAACAATCACTACCTCCTGCTGATGTCTACCTCCTCAAATAGCTCTTGAAACCATTCATGTTCTGCCTCTTCCTCATGATCAATGCTGAAATAGACATATGAGAAGAGAGAAGCTAACTGGTCAGAGAAGGGCATATGAACTGACACTTGAAGGGTGAACAGGAAATTGCTGAAGAAGGGAAGGAAGATATTCTGAGCTAAGAAAGCAGCAAACTGATTCTTAACACAGCAGATGCCAGATGCCAGTTTTGACATCTTTACGTACCTGTCCACTAGGCATCTCAAACTTAGCACAGGTAAATCTGAACTACGATTCCATCCATCTTTTTCTATTTTGAATCAATTTTTCCTAGCTTAGGAAATGGTACAACTATACCTTGTTGCTTAATGCAAATACCAGGCATCACCATTTATCTTTCACTTTTTCTCACCTTCACATCTAGTTCCTTGGCAAATTTTGTCTGCCCTATCTAAGCATATTTTCTGAATTTGTTCACTTATCCCTTTCTCTATTGGTATTTCCCTTATCTAAGAAATCTGCATTTTGTTGTTGTTTTCTTAGGTCCTAGCTATACATACCTTAGTAACCCCAAAATTCCCTTATTTTCAGTATAACAAGCAAAGTGATCTTTATAGAAAATAATCAGCTCATACTTTTCTCCCTTGCTTAAATTCTTCCAATGCTTCCCAGTATACATAGAATAAATTCAACTCCTTGCCTTGGCAAATACCTTTCCATGTGAACTATATGCTGAATATCTTTCTCACTGCATTCCCCACTGACCTCACTTCATAGCTCTACCATCATTGGCTTTCTTTTTGTTTTATAAATACATTAAGATCACTACCCCCATCAGTATGTCCCCTTATCTCACATCTTAGGAAATTTTCATACTTGCGTTCTTCTCCTATAATGATCTGACTCCAGATCTTCTTTTCAGGAAGGCCTCCCTGTCCAAACAGACTTATGAAGCCACAAGCACACCCACTCCTGCCTCTGAACATCACATCTTTCTATTCCATTTTCTTTATAGCACTTCTCATTCATTATCTCATCAATTTATCAGTTTGCTTCTCACCTCTGTATAAGAACACTCCTTCTCCTCCCTACCCAGCCTACATGGAAGGTCTATACAAGGGCAAGGATCTTATCTCTTATTTATCCTTATTTTCCTGGCATCTAAAACCATGCCTTCTTTGTAGTAAGTGCATACTGTTGACAAAAACTTACTCTTAAAAATGTTTTCACAGACTAGTCTGCCGTGGACAAGGATAAAGGAACTATTTATATATGTCGTGTTAAAATAACTTATGTGACTGTAAGCAATCAATTATATCCATTCTTTATTTGGTTCCTTACTATGAAAAATACAAATAATAATAGGAAACAGCAGTAGGATCTGCTGTGGCCTGGAGGACCTGTGCATGCAATAGGGGGGCCCAGGACTGCAAATAAATTTTTTTTGGAAAAGATTTATTGTGGTTTATGAATTTTTTGGCATTTCCAAGAGATGACAATAAAGACTTAATTTGTTTTTCAATTAATTTTTTGGCTCTAAGTTGTTTTCTATACTGCAAACTCGCATCCCCTTTTCTAGGCCTGGCCTCAGAGAGAGAATCAGTGGGCCTGGCTTTGCGAGGGCTATAAAGGGAATTGTGAGTGTCATC